TAAATAAATAAATAAATAAATAAATAAATAAATAAATTTGAGCCTCTAGCATGGTTTGAAACTAGTCGGGTTCCTCGTCAAATAATTACGCGAGTAAGCCATTTTTTACTATGTACTTAAATACGTTTTTATCAACTTCTTTCTTATCCATAATTATATGGTTTGTCTTGACGTGTATGCTCTAGGTGGGAGGGGCACTTGGGCAATGTACACGTAGGTAGGTACAGTACCGTTGTACTCTAGTCGAGAACATTATATGGTTCATATAAATTAGTAATTATTTTATTACCTACTGTAGATAATCTTCAGGATCTACTAGGAACTAGGTTTATCTCTAAACAATAGATACAAATATTAGAAAACACTCAACTGCTGTTTTAATAGTCTGCGACTGTGTGTGTTGGTTTAAAAATGAATGTTATCTTCCAGTTCAGGCAAATAAAGAAGTAAATAAATGAAACCACAATATGGCAGTATTAGTAATGTTTTATTTTGTGTTTTTTTCCCATAAACTAACTTACAGACCATAGGTCTTACAAAATACATCTTACAATCGAACTTAAGTCAATGTTACGAACAAACTTACTAAAAGATGAACAAGCAAGTTTAAGTTTAATTAAAAATGCACATTTTTCTGAACAGTTTTCTTTAAACACAAACTAATTATCACAAAATAGTAAACTAGGCCTTCTAAAACGAAGGTTCGTGTTAATTAATGGTTCTTAAGAAGTAACCTCTCGCTTCCGGTCGTGGTGGTGGCCAGGGTCGGAAGCGAGAGTGCGTGGGACATCGTCAACTCATTATAAGTGGTCGCGAAAAGGCCACAACGCTTCCCTTTACAATATTTGCGCCATGCGCGGAAAGGAGCTTAAAAATGTGTGGCCACAACAAAACATGGTAGTTTAGATTAAAAAGGCACAAAGGTGGGAGCGACTCTCAACACTTACAAGCCGGGACTGACAAGGGTTCTAGTACCCCGGCAAGAACACCGTGTGGTTAACACATCATGTGGGTAAATACATTACAGAGCTCTCCACCGTTCCCAATGGTGGAGGAAATTACATCTACACACGATAAAAAACAATAGATGAATGGTAAATTATTTTTAAACATAGATTTTCTTTTTTTACATTTTTCTCGTAATAATATCAACTTAGATATAGCCAATAAATCATATAAACGATTTAAAATACTAAGAAGTAAGTACCAGATTAACATAAATTGAAATGGGTGTCCATTCCTAAAATGCATTTGTCAGATGGAGTCAAACATTAGTGACTAGACAACTTCTCTCACACACACACACACAGTCCTGTGTCTGCCGGCGGACGGCGGCGGAATCATTTCAAGTAGAAACTCATCATCATCTTGTTCCAAGTCGGTCGAGCCTCGCACTCATTTCACTAGGCCGGGACTCTTTGGGTAGTCGCACGGCAGGAATATGTGCATTAACTTCTCTATCTCGCTGCGACACAGCGGACAGCGGTTGCATCTGTAAAGAGGGAAGTGAATATTAGTACTATAGTATGAAACACAATTTCGTTTCTATGAAAGTGACTGTCATCTCCAATTTCATCTTATTTCTGTGTAAACTTGTGATATTTACCTGGGAGCGCAATTTTCGCAGCAGACGACGTGTCTGCAGGGCAGGAAGAGAGTGTCGATGGGCTCGTCCATACACACGCGACACGCCAGCGCCTCCGCGCGACACCCGCCGCTGTGGGAGCGAGACCGGGACTCCTGCGGAACGAGAGAGGACATTGTTACATCATTTCTGGTAGAAGAAGTAGTTTGAGGTATGGTAGGAGTAGAAGAAACAGTTTGTGAGTGTAACCTTTTGTGGATGACCCCTTTTTAGCACTGCACGGGTTTTGACTTCTATAATGATGTTGACAGAATTAACGAAAATAGGATTATGGGAGTATTTAAGTTGCACTTTGGAGAGTATTTATGTTGCCCTAACGGGAGAGATTTTTGGAGACGTGCTTGATGTGTTATTATAAGGTAGGCACCCTGTAACTTTTGTCTACCCCGACAACGACTTGACTTTATGTAAGAGTAAGAAGTAGGTACCTATATAGTGGTGAATAATAATGATAGTTTCCAGGTACATAACACCGACATACCTTGTGTTCCGAGCCCGAGGCAGTGCGGCGTCGAGTGCGCGAGTCGTGCGGCGCGGCGGAGTGTAGCTGCGCATGCGCGGCGCGGCGCGCGCGGTCGTACACCTCGCGGCACGTGCGCCGGATGTCAAACACATAGCGCCGCCCGAGAGTCGTCGAGTCGTTGAAGATTGACGCTATTGTGCCCTGGAATAAAGTTAATACATAGATTAGTATTCAATGCAAGGTGAATTGTGCTCGGAAGTGATAAGTTGAGGTCGGTTTTCTAAAGACAACTTTGATAAGACTTTATCATCATCAAGTACCTACAGAGTTAACTTGAACTATCGAACTTCCTCTAATTATTATCAGTTTAATTACAAGAGGATAAATTTGAAAATCTATTAGAGATCTTATCGGGGAAGCTTGATGGTCTCAGGATAAGTAGTGACACATAGATTTTCCTACTAGGTATCAAGCCGACCTCCCAGTGCATATACGACCCATTGTTGTACATACTAAGTAGCACTAAGTATTAATATGTGCTTGTCATTAATTAAATGATATTTGAAGGATTAATTTCTAGGTGTCTTATGAAGTACCTACTCGCCCTATAATATGTTAATGCTTTTAACTCCTAAGACACCTAAATAAGTCTCTATGGCCGTGTATCTTCGCCTTCCCCCATTCATCCGCGAACATTTACAATATTAGACTAGTACACTTTATAAGGATGTCCTATTGCGTAAGGTATCCCATCCTATTTTCTATTGGTGTGGGAACGAGGTGGCAATTCGTTTGACGTCATCTACATCTGACCATTCAGGATGTTATATACGAATTCTCGCAACCTCATTAATCATAACAGAATAATAGTTTCAACTAGCATTAGCATTTTGATGACGTAGACAATTTTCTCACGCTGGATTATTTTTATTAGTTCTACGTAGCCAGGGCCTTATTTGGTGTTTTCAAGACTTTAAGATACATATTGCATTAGCACTAGGTTACGCGACGTCGCTGCGTCTGCCCACGCTGCTCATGAGGAAGAGTCCCTCTATGACTCGAAACTAGTAAAAATTTTAATCTTATATTTACGTGATTAACTCGTTATTTCTATTTAATTTATATAATTATACTTTATGACTACCAGTCTAAACATTGGATGATACAGCAGAGTTAATAACAAGTTACGTTCGCAATATCTTCCAAAAAAGTTCTTTAGGACTTTAGAAGTATATTATCTATTATTATTAATGTAATATACAAGAATACATACAAGCAACTACAATTGCTCCACAATCCACAATCTACCTACAAATGATTATTTTTCCGAAGCCACTTCATTAGGTGCAAAGTCCAATGTGGCAACACTAGCCGATTGTTATGACAACCGAGTTGAGGTCGAATACGCCGGCCCGACCGGGAACATTGGATGGTACAAAGTCCAAACATGTTTTGGTCACTTCTATTAGTGGACTCATTTAATTTTATTGTCCATAGGTAATATTACTTACTGACATGACATTCGAGTTGATATGGGAACTTGAAAACTTCTAGAATCTAGAGAGACTGTGTCAATTTTGCAATAGAAGGAAGCTACCTACTAGCTAGCTACTACTTGTAAATAATAGGGGATCTGAAGTTGGAGGTAAGCATTATGGGAGAATTGAGGGACTATCTTTAAAAATGACGGTTTAAGAGGGTGATAAAATAGTTTACGTGGTGTTAAAATGCTCCAAAGATCTAATATTAAACACTGTTTATGTTTACTTCTTCGGTGGTTACTGTCCAAGGTTTATAGGAGAGAGGCTGAATACGTGACTCGGAGCATGGACGATTAAAGTAGGTAACTGCGTTGCATTTAATGCTATTTCTAGTCACGTTTAGATTTTGGGTCAATTAATTTAAATACCAAAAATAAATAAGCCCTTTTCTAATGAAAACCAACCTTTGTTCGTGGATTGAACTTACAACCGACTAACTCCACATACCATATTGTGAAGGCATTAGGGTCTACTTTCCTTTTTCCTACATAGATACAAACAGCTACCCCTTACTCATCGTTCTTTAATAGATTTTCAACTTTATATTCAACATCATACAACACAAAATGTATGTTCAAAAATCTTGTTCTTACCTTCAGATCTCTAGTGAACTGCTCAGTGACTGCAGTTCGTACAGTCTCGCAGTAGTAGAAGGCATGTTTCTCCGTCACTGCGCGGTACAGGGCCGCTGCCTGCCCAGACGTGGCCATCTTGATGTGAAGAGTTGCTTCATTGCCCTCGTCCGTCACGAACGACATTTGGAAGTTGCGCCGGAATGGTTGCGCTCGGTGGATTGCGGTGTATGCGATACTGGAATTGGAGAAGGGTTCATAAGTAATGGTTTTTATGCAGAAACATTGCATTAACTAATGGCGGAGTTTAATATTTCGTATTCTATTTGATTACTTTAAGGAATACTAAATGGAAAAGCTACAGATAGAGCAGAGGTCATCATGAAGGAGGCTGTTTTCAAGTTCGGGCTAAGGTTACTAAAATACCAGCTGTGCAAGTTTATTCTATGAATTTCCTCTAAAGCAAGAACCATAAAGTCATAGGGAAGCTAGAAGCTATAATAATTTGTCTTTATTTCCACAACATCAGTTTCCTCATAATGTTAATATTCTAAAGATAGCTACGTGTTGTCGTCCTAACTACCAAAATTCTTAGCAAATACACAAAGATAAGGATGATAAGCTAAAACAAAGAAATTCGTCCAAGAACCGAGAAATTTCTTCGAAAACAAATGTCAATATGTGGAATATAAAGTCTTATCATTGTTAAACATAATTTCAGTTATCGGTACAACGACATCTTTGATAGAGAACAAAACGACGAAAATATGAAGTAGGATGTACTTAAAATTTGTAAATTAATTACATTTATCTTGCAAATAGGTATGTAGGTACCCAATGAAGTGGAAACGATGCTATCGGGGTGTAGCTGCTAAACGAAATGGGTCAAAAGATCACTTTTAATCATATGACGCAGGTACTATCTGTAGGTAGGTTTAATGATATTGTGCAATAAAATTTTCTTCGACAAATTGTCTGCCAGCGTCTTTCAATTCTGTCAATTTGTTCATTTAAATTGCAAAATAAACTTTGGCCTATTAGTTGCCTACTTAGTTTGCAAATAAGAAAATTTTATTCAGCTGTTTTAGGTACGTTTATGTATGTACATAAACACAATTTTTGTGTCAATTTATTTGTCCATAGAACTGCGCAGTTGACAAAAATTTGTTCCTCTAATGGACACGTTTAACATAATTGTTTTTTCTTACAATCGAAAATTCTAGATGTGATGGAATGTTAGTTTTGCATACAGGTAAATATGTACCCACTGCATCTTACGTAACTCAAGTAAATATAGAATTATACGTAATATCTTGGAAAAAATACATTTCTCAGTAATTGTAAGCGATCAATACCGTGCAATTTCACAATAATATGTTTGTAATAAAGTCGCTTCTGGAACAGAAACTAAGAATAAAATGTGTATATGTATTTCGTTAAGTAAATATTTTTTTCAATATTCTGTGTTATTTAGGTCCGTGATGTCATTTTAATGAATTCAAGTGCTGTTAGTCAAACCGAAAACAGAAGCGAATGTACTCATTGTCTTGACCCGCACGCTACTTGACTACTCATACGAATAATAAATAGAATTTATTCATTTAGCTTTGAAATGACATTAATTAGGCTTACTATAAGAGCTGGTAGCAGAATATCCAAGGACAACACCGTACGAACCTCTTTTCGTTCAGTTACATTTCTGTACAATACATTATTGTTTTCAAAATGAACGAAACGTTTCGAAGTGACTTTCACCTTTCCGAGCACTTTGTTTTCTTATTATGGAATTGTTAATTAGCTGCGATTCAATAGGTATATTGATGCCTAGGTATTGAAAAACAATGTTTAAAAGAGTTGACGCATACCTTTGTTTCTCGACTCCAATTTCTTGTTCTCCATTGCAGGCTGGTCTGTAGACGACGATGCCGTGTGGTCCTACTCCCACACACGTGCTCAGCCTGCAGCCGCAGCCCCCTCCACTCTGTCCTGACGTCAAGCAGCCTACTGTCGCGCCACCGTCGATCTCCTGCTCATCCCTCGCTCTGGGCTCTTCCGCCTGTTGCCTGTGGTACAGCAGGTGGCTGTACAGATTGTGAGCGTTGTTGTTTATGGTGACAGGCTTGCAGAAAAACAATTCCTCCCCAAATGACTCCAACTCTGATATTTCTTTCAACAATCTGTACTCCGCCTGAGAAGCTCTCATCCCGGTAATTTGGCAGTGGTATTCTATGATTTTGTCGACATGATCTTCTGGTCGCTCGCCTTGTGGACCAATTTTGTCACACTCTTCGTATATGTGTGTTGGTGGCAGTTCCCGTTCGCAATCTCCTGTCTCTGCCTGAGCTATGTAGGCGATGATTTTCCGAGCTACTTCTAGATCTGCTACGACCAGTCTTCCTTCAATGAGATCGAGTTTGGCGTGGAGATAGAACTGGTGACGGGTAGCTTCGTTTATCAGGAGATGTGGGGGCACCCAGAATTTGACTCGGAGGTCGAGTCGACCTCCGGGGATGCGGTGTGGGTCGAGAGGGTTCCTCAGGTTGAGCCATCTGCCGGGGCCAGATCCTGGAGATACGCGGAGACCGAAGTAGTCCGCTTCGACACCGATCTCCAGTTTCTCGCATACCTGGAACAAATAAATACTAAGATTAATAAATCAGTCGACATACAACTTACTTGAGGAAATACAGTTAACAAGACAAGAACCAAGAAAGCTAGTTTAATGCGTGATTGATACCTAGATAATAAACTTTCCAAAACAGGATCCACTCCGTTAATGAAACGACCAAGTTTCGTAATCCAAAATGTTAGTATTTGCCAAATAATTACATGGTTTGGATTGGCCAGACCGTATGTGCCTAAGTAGACTTCTAAGCAATTTGGCAATGTTGCAAAGTGAAAGTTAGAAGTAATAAACCTATTATTAGGAGCTATTTATCAACGTTGAACTTGTCTGGGCCTTTGCTGGAGGCCTCATATGTATTCCGTAAAGGGTATTACGTGTATCAAACATCGCTTTAATATGTTCATCCCAAATCAGTATTTGTGAGCTGTACCTAATCAATTTAAGCCACTGGTATTGTAGCCCAGAACTGCAGTTTTCATGCCAATAATTGAACAATGGTATTTGCTCATAAAACTAAACAATTTCATATAACTTTGCATATCCGTTACTTATTTGTGTAGGGGACCGTCGAGTACAAGTGTTAATTTCCATATTTCTTTGTTCGGTATGCAGGAGGTAACTACGCATTTACCGCCAACAACAGCGAATATTAAGTGATCGTGTAAGTGTTTACTTATATTAATAATATTGCGAGCCGCACTACTGCGACTATTTATGCACTTTACCTACACGATATATTGTTTTCGTAATGACATTAATTAGGTACTTCGAAGTACTTCTAGGTAAATGTTTTGGTTGTCGATGGCGCCGTATCGCGGTGTTTGTGTCGCGGTACATACGTACTCATTTTACACAAATAGTGATAAAGTGTATTAAAATGCATAATATTGTGTTCACATACTGATAACGGATGCAGCTGCCATGCCACTCGATGCAATATAAATTATATTTTCGGAGCAAAATAGATGTGGGATACTCCATAATTAGTTACAAACTGTTGTTAATATAATGATAAACATTGCGTAGTAACTACACATTAATTGTAATTTACCACACGCGGGCTCGTCGGCTGATAACAAACATATCAATCACTATGATCGCTCACAGAAAGCACGTTTTCAAAAATCTGTTCATTGATTACTACTGCGTAATATTTCGTATATCAATGGACCTTGAAGCATAACTAACATCGATTTTCCATGCCACATACCTACTATAGAGCCTAGAAATGTCATAAATACATTGGCATAACAATCGTCATTTTATTTATCGCTTCCTACATACTTCTCTAACATAGGATACGAAAACAACATTAAGTACTTATACTAGTTATAGTTCACCTGTTGTTTTTAAATGGATTGCGCAGATAGGTAGCTCCTTATTGAGTGTTTGTAACGTAATCTAATCGTGTAACGTGAGTGTTCGGTCCTATTTATTGAGGCGTCACAACTGAAGCTCCTAGGGCTATCAGTCAAAACCTGCATCAATATCATTTAAATTAAGACTACTTAGTACTACAATAAATCTATTATTATTTTGATGAAAATAAGTACATACAGGTGTGATGTTTTAACCTCGTTTTGTACTCATAATGATAAGATTATTAATCATTGAGATCGTTTTAATTGAGTACATCAACTCGTTCATTAGGTATGTACCGAAGTTGTTCGGCACAATTAAAGCGTCGATTAATCTGATTTAAACGACACGATTTATTACCTAGTAACTATTACAATTCATTTATGTGGCTAAAGTCCGATTCCTAATTAAACAAAACTTCACGAGCCCGTACATCCTTGTCAGAACTAAATCAATTGTAAACTACACTAGAGTAATTGTATCTTGCCATTCTCATTGACACCTTATCTCCGGCATCACGTTGCAAACTCCTGCGCAGCTTGTAGTAAATATTTGTCATGCGATCTCATGTTTACGTATCACAGAAACATTATGTGAATTAGTTTCCTCGCATTCTTTTGTGACCATACAATAACATCGTTGAGGCAGACCGGCTTATTAGCGCAAGCTGAGCCACCATTTTTGTAGGTTATAATTATCTTTTCGTTAAGGGCAGTGAACTGTTGGACGCAAGTTTACTGAAATACGATATCAGCTCCAAAAATCGCAGTCTCATTTATCTCCATTTGTATTGTTTCGACCCATCTGTATTCATTCTCAGTCATCATTGAAACCGCAGTCAATGCCTTTGTTTCATTGAAATCAGCACAAATATCCTCAGTTCATAACATCAATATCCATAGAAACTACATTGAGATATTTGTCCGGTGCAGTATAATTAAGGCAATAAGGGATCTAATTATGTGTCCTTTACCTATCATCAGCGCATCACGCTTGCATCTCGTGTTGATAACGTCATTCCGTATGGCGTTTTGTAATTTAAATACATAGGTATTATTGGAACACGATGTTAGCTCGTGATGATCAGGATCAATCATGGCGGTGAACCCGGTGAACATGAACAGTGTTAGTGGGAATTCCGTCTCAAATGTTTTGGACATTACGCATTACAAACAATTGAATGCAGTTAAAAACAAAAACGAAATCAATGAAACTGTGTTTCTGAAATATAAATGAGTATTTAATAACGAAGCAAACGTTTGTCACTGCTCCTATTGAAGTGTATTCTGTGCGCATTAAACATGTATGTGTAGGCAATACATTCCCCTTTCCCTGTTCAATTTCCTAATAGAAGGCCCATGTTCCCCAGCCCACTCTTAATTAAAACTACCGCTGCTTACAAGGGCCGTAAAAAAGCAATTTGCGTAATGCTCAATACCGTTGGGAAAGCACACGTGTAGGACATTTCGCAGAAATGCTGGGTAAATTACCCTGGAAGTAATAGCTTTGTCTGATCGGCATCGTGAAGGTACCAGCAACGCAACTACTTGTACGGTTAAATTCAATTCGATACGTGAAAATGCCCAAGGGAACTTTCGGAATTGGTCTTTCATTTTATTTTTGTTGGAAACCGTTTGTCGTCTTTCTTCTTTATGGAATTTTCTCATCAGACCTTCATATAAACTTTATTGTTAGGTTCTATCTGGTTACTGGATAATATAATACTATTCCTTTATTTATTAGTATGGTTAAGCAGTCCCATCTTAGGGCAGGTCCCATCTTTGGATAAAAGATTTCTTGTTTAATTTTGAATACTTATTGATTGAACACTCTAGCCCTTATCCTTTTACAAAAACTGCACGTTGTGTCCGCCTTTCAACCATGATGCCTGTATCAGGTTTCTGATCATACGCTAAACATCTGCTCAGGATGGTAACTTCCTCGTCCGTCCTGTTAGGATGTAAGTATTTATTTTGGCAACAAGTTTACATTCATGGCTAAACTCCAATTTTATTGAGAATATTGACCTTTCAAATGGATACCAGATTCAGTTGGCATACTTTCACAATGTGTTTGCGATTTTTGGAGGTTACACTTACAAGCCTCACAAACAAAAGATAGTTAAACATTTATCATGAACATAACATTTGCTGACTTCCAAATACAAACCAAGTTATCATTTACGGCATAAATATTTTTGTCCAATCAAAATTAAAGTTTATTAACCTCGAGCAGTGATAGCAGCTGCCTTTCTTTCCTGCATTGGTATTCAAAAACCGACTCTACACTCCAATGAAGTGAGTCCAATTCTCTTCTAATTAAATATAATCTGATTATTTATAAATAATTAATAAAAACTATGGAACTGTTATGGTGTGGTTCGTATTTCCGTTTTGCATCCATTGTTTTCTGAATAATATAATTTAGGATCTACGTGTAAAAATGTTTTCAGTAACCACCTAATTCAATTATAATTGTTTCAGCTTGATAATGGCAAAATACTCTAATACCGGATGGAGTAACCTGTTGGTGATTTACGAAAAACTGATTGTTTATATTATGCCATATAAAAAGCTATCATGGATGATGCGTATGCTGCACTAGAACAAAGAACTCTTCTCATAAGAGGTGCATTGCTTTACAAATATGTATTTTAAGTATTGAACGTGTGGGATGTGGGATGCATGAACTTTGTAGTAGCTTGCCTGCTCGCCTATTTCTTGCAAGACCCGATTGGATCTCGTTTTCTTTAACCGATAACGGAAAAACAAGTAGCTGATCTAAAAACTGACGATTTGTTTTTCTCAGTCTAAAGCTATCTGGGACGAGATATCATTATTATCAACCAGTAACCTCACTTTAGTTATCTGGGCATTACGAATTTCCATGAACACAGAGTATATTTGGCAGGACACGAACACTTGTGTTTGGTCGACTGGTTGATCGACTAGTCGAGATCAAAACGAAAGTTTGGTCACGCAGCTCGATTTGTTGGCTGATCGATCGACGGTTGCGTGCACGCAGTCCGCGCGTGATTCTGTTGAGACAGCATTGATGCTAGAGTGAGACAGCAAGAAAACATCTGGGTTGTTCGTTTTGTGATTCAATGTTTTTGCTCTGCTATTTTTGTTTCGAATGCAGTACTGTGCCAAGAGAAAAAGGATTTTTATTTTGCACTTCAATTCTATTAGGTGGCGCTCGAACTGACCTAGGTATTACAATATAAATAAACAAAATATTTGGTTTATTTTTGTCTGTTTAATCAAATGTTATTCAGAAACTATTCGTTGTGGGTCCTTGTTACCTGCAGGCTGCAATAAGTCCTTGGTGATTTAGTAACCGACGAAAACCAGGAACACTATGTTAGTATTTCACGGCATCTGGCCAAACTAGTCGGTTTCCTGTGCTATTTGACTGGTTGTATTGTGCAACACTAACTTCCTTATGTATTTGAATATACGTAATTACAAATTAGTTAATACCTATTGTACAGTACAATCCTATATGGGCGTCTAGTCGTTTACTTTGTGAACTTGATTCTTTTCTGTCAAGGTTTTTGCAGACTTGCAGACCTTTAATCAAGTAATGGGCACCTTCAAAAATAAAGTCATTCAACTCATGTGTGATGCGATTAACCCTGT